TGTAGCCTGTGTCAAAGACTTTTATTGTCTTAATGTAAAGGAAAAAACCCATATTGAAGTATGTTCACAGGAATTATTTTTCTGCTTTCCATTCAAAGTCACTCCCTCCTTCCCAGAAGTGAGAGTCCCTTACTCCTGACTGCAGTGATGATGTGTACATGGAATAACCACCATCTCATGGTATGGAATAACCACTGAGACACTGCTCCAGGCTCTGACCCCTCACAAAATACAGCCTTTGCAGAGCCTCTTGTAGTTTGTCAGACACAGAGTGCAAGTTCTTCTGTATGGAACGTTCCTCTATATCCATGGACAACCCCATAGCTGCTGTACTTGTTGGAGGCTTAGCCAGAGTTTAGGTATAGCGGAAAAGCACAGACACATCTGTGTTCAGGATAACAAATATATTTTGCAGTATGCAGCTAAATAGCTGTGTTTTGTGTAGATGTAATGCAGCACGTACCTTCCTCAAACCTATCGATTTAAGGATGTACATTTTGTTCAGCTGAATTGGTTTGCATTTTAGTGTTCATGATGTTCGTGACACTTTTCGTGTTCTCTCTGGTAAGAGCCCGTGACAGTTTCTGATCATAAAGAGAGATGCTGCCACCAAATTTTTTAGCATTATTTATTGAGGAATACTTTAAGAAAAGATCAAACTTGGAATTCCTCACAGCCTGAACAAGGGAAGCATTTTTCTCCAGTCTCCTCCCTGTTAGTTTCCTGCTGGCATAACTAGGTGCCTTTCCAAATGATCAGTGACTTCTTTTGTTTGCCTGTCTTTTCAGAGTTTTTATTTTGTTTTGCTGTAATTCACTTTATTGAAAGGTCCTTATTCAGGTAGAGGGATCCCTTTAAAAGGGAGGAAAGAGGCTTTTGGACCTTTTCTTGACAGCTAAAAAAATCATGGATGCTAACTTCCTTTTCTTCTGCTTCTCATTATTTAAGACTTTGGGCAATGAGCCAAAACAAAGAAAAACCAACTCCCTGGTCGGGCTGAAAATCACTATCACTTGAGGGCACTATTCATGTATGTAATATTTAGAGTTTTCCCTTTGAGCCAAACTCCCAGCTTGATCCCGTCCTCTTGATGAATCATTGTGGCACCTTGTGGCTCATACTGCTCACAACCAAGGGAACATGGCTTATGTGGGAAACATGGATCAACAAAGGAGATGACTGATATTTTTCTTGAAGTTGTACTGATGTTAACTCCCAAATGTATCTTTATTGGCCTTTGGAACTTCCTTTTTTCCCCCCACAGTAATCAACGCTTTATTCCAATAAAGTGGAATTTAGAGGATTTTCATCCATATATTTCACTTTTTTCAGTCTACATTTTCCTTAATTTTCTGTTGAAAACCCTATATATAAATGTATACGCGTTTGATAACTTGAAATTAAATTAAATTGTCACTTTCCATTGAATCACCCAAAATGTCACATCACAAAAGCAATTCAGGGCAAACCAGAATTTCCAGAATTAGGATTCTGGAGTTTAGAATTTCCAGAACTGGTATTCTGGAAATGCCTTGTTTGTTTTCATTGAATATAAGGACACCATTTTCATGACGGATATTTTTTTTTAAACAGCTTCAAATGAATACTATTTGAAAACAATCTTTGGTCATTTAATTGTGTAAACTGCAAGCAGCATTTGAACATCTGCTCATTCTCTAACACTAAACACCTGATTACAGTGAAAGCAAATTCATTTGCAATGAAGCAAGGTATCCAGGAGCAGCCTGGGACTGCACTGAAGTTCCTGGATCTTATGGATGTGTTGGCAAAGGGGTTTGTAGCTTCTTGTTATGTCTGCCAGCTTTCCCTTGACTGCAGCTGTGTTACAGCAGTTCTGCCTGCATTGAGTCAGAGCCACTTGAAGCACTTCCACTTTTTATTGCCAGTCTGGAGTGGGAAAAATAAACCAAAATCAGTGGTGGAAAGTGTTTTGCTTTGGTTTTGCTGTATCTAAGATATCTGTGTGTGTCTATAAAAGGAAGCAGAGTTCTGTTGTATTTTACAGAGCTTTTCTGGATTAGCACTAACTTCTGTATCCATGCAGTTTCCATCCCACCACTGATTTTCCTGAGAGTAAACTGCATGGGCATGGCTACCTGCTTCTGGATGTGGGACTTCATTCAAGTGAAGGAAACTCCTTGAGCCAGGAGCAGTGTTTTTTTGGTTTTGGTGTATTTGCCAACACATGAAACAAGTTTTATTTTGTTATCTCCCTTCTATGCAGAGCAATAGCTCTCTCAACATGTAATTAATCTATTTGGAAACACCTTCAGGGCTTGGTGTCAGCTACAGTGTTTGTTCATAGTCACACTGGGTCACAGATGGCAAGGGAGGAGGAAAGAGATTATCTTTTGGGAGAAGAACCCATGCCTCCATTTTCCTAATCTGATTAATGATTTCTGTGTAATTGGGTGGTTTTACTTCACAAAGCATAAGCTACTGCTGGTATGCAAACTTCAGGCATCTCTGACCTCTTTTGAGCTTGATAATTCTGAAGTTTTCTGTTCTGCATTTCAGTTGTGCTTTGATTGTGACTTGGAAAGGGCTGTTCTTTGATGGGATCTTGTATGAGGCATCTCTCCTGAAGCAAGTTAAAACCTGTGCACTAAAACTTGGTGTTTGCATCTTAATCAATACTGAGACAGAGTGAATTAATCTGTGTACAGCCCTGAGGGGAGATCTTCTTGGTGTAGGATTGCTTTCTGTGCCTGAAAGACTGTACACCTGCAAGGAATAGAAGCACAACAGTGGCTGTGCATGGAAACTCAAATCTGTGCTATACACCTGTGTATTTCCATATATATGAGCAGGGAAATGCCTAAACATCTCTGGAAGTTATTCATTTGGGCTAATAAACTGCACAGAGGTTTAACTTGGTTGGCATTCAGGAACATGCCACGATTTTCTTGATCTCCTCTGCTTATCAGTTAAGCACAATTATTGCTTCATACAAAATGGTTGTGTTTCAATGCTTTAAGGTCCATTCCAACCCAAACCATTCTATGATTGGAAGATTTCTATAATAAAACAACAACAAGAACAACAAAATATATATATAAGGCTTCATAGACCAGATGCAACAAAACACCTAACTGTGCAGGCAGTTTTTAAACAAATACTGAGGTCCCACCAAAGCAAATGGTTTTTAAACATGAGCTTTGCAGACCTCTGGGGTCTAATGTTCAGTCAGTAAAGAATGAGATGAAAAACCCAGCTTTCCGTATTTAGTACCATCATAAAGAAGTGCAAGTAATTTTACACACAAAATGTGAACATCATGACCATTTTGTGTCTTTTCTGCCCCATCATGTGCTTCTTCCAGACTTCTGAGGTCTTAGGGTGACCTTAGCCCTGCCATACTCCAAGAAGCTCTTCAGTTTTTGCTGCAGTGAGTAAGGTTTTAAATTCATATATTTGGTATGGTACATATTTGATATATCTTCAGGTACTGTGGAATGTAAAACTCTGAGGCAAGACACTGGAGAAACTAAATCCAGATGTTGCAGACTTACTGGTGAAAACTGGTCATTCTTTTCTTACACATGCTTAAAGTTATGAACTTTTTGAAAACGGGAAGAATTCTCAAGCTCTTGTTCTCTGATTTGAAAGTAAGGTTACATGTGAAAGGAGCTTTCTCTTTCCTCCCAGTACCAAGAGTAGCCAGTGCCTGAAGGCTACAGAACATGCTACCTAGGTTCATTTAATTAATGTTGTTTTTGTGTGCTCAAGACACAGTGTCATAGTTTTGAGGTGGCTTTTGTTTTTTTGTTGTTTTTCATTTTGCTCTCTTCTTTTTGTTATTCTGTGAAATCTACCATGCAGCTGAAATTGGCTGATATTGCTGTATTTTTAGGGTTTTTTTCTGTTCTCCATTTCCCAGCAGCATTAGAGAAGTTGGAAATGTGGTGATCTTTGCACTGCAGGCTAGGGGCAGAGTGGCTGGAGAGGTTCCTGGAGGAAAAGGATCTGGAGGTGCTGGTCAGCATTGTCTGAACATGAGCCAGGTGTGCCAAGGACGCCAATGGCACCTGGTCTGTGTCACCAAGAGTCTGGCCAGCAGGACCAGGGCAGGGATTGTCCCCTGTCCTGGGCACTGGTGAGGCCACACCACGAATACTGTGTCCAGTTCTGGGCCCCTTAATTCAGCAAGGACATTGAGGGGCTGGAGCATGTCCAGAGAAGGGGAACTGAGCTGGGAAGGCTCTGGAGCGCAAGTGCTGTGAGGAGGGGCTGAGGAAGCTGGGTTTAGCCTGGAATAAAGGAGTTCTTGGGCACCGTGTTGCTCTCTAGGACTCCCTGAAAGGAGGGTGTAGCAAAACGAGGGTTGGTCTCTTCATCAGGCAACAAGTGACAGATGAGGGGACGTGGTCTTGAGCTGCACCAGGGCAGGGCATTAGGAAGAAATTTTTTTTTTTTTCACAGAAAGGGTGATGACTTATTGGAATGTGCAATCCGGGGAGGTGGGGGAGTCACTCTCCCTGTAGGTATTTAAGGGACGACTGGACATGGCACTCAGTACCGTGTTAGTTGACATGGTGGTCACAGGTTAGACTCGATGATCTCAGGTGTCTTTTCCAACCCAGTTGATTCTGTGATGCTATGTATGGGAAGAGACCTGGACAGGCACGCTGTCCCAGCCCCTCACTGCCCTGAGGCAGGGCCGGCGCAGCAAGGCCGGCTCACGGAGCAGGCGGGGACCCCGCACATCTCTGCGGGCCAGGCACCACCGGCGAGTCCCGGGGGCCACGTCGGAGGGCAGCGGGCAGCAGCAGCCCCTCGGGGGGACAACACACGGCACAGGCGACACCGGAGCCCCGGCGGATCCCAAACCTTCTCGGGAGGCGAGGCGGGGCCGGGCAGAGGGAGGAGGAGACTTCGGCGGCGCCCGGGAGCCGCTCGGAGAATGTCCCCGTCCCATTCCCCCTCCTCCTCCTCCTGCTCCTGCTCCTGCTCCTCCTGCTGCAGCCCCGGGCCGGGCAGAGCCGCCGTGAGGAGCATGGGGAGCTGCTGGCTGCGCCTCGCCGCGCTGCTCGCCCTGGGCGCCCGGGCCAGCCTGGAGTACGAGGGTGAGGAAGGGGAGGAAGGGGCGGCGGGGCCGGGGCAGAGCCGGGCCGGGAGCGGGGCCGGGGCCGCTGCGCTGAGTTCTGGTATAGAAATGACAGCACCGAGCTCTGCTTTCCCCACGCCTCGTGTTCACCGCCGTTTTCCGTGCCAAAACTTTGCAGTGGCATAAGGCCATGCTTTCTCAGAGTCTCCCTTCAAGGCTTTTACCAGGAATATTAGAAGCCAAATTATCTGTTTGTGTAACAATATAAAAAGTGCACTAAGGTAGACAAAGTGATGAGTTACTAGCCCTCTCTCCTGACACCCTTTCTTCAAGTGCTCTTAGGGGTAAGGTCTGTTTACAGAAGTGAAGATACAGGCTTATAGCCCAAAAAATGATTGTTGTAAAATGATTTTCCAAAATGTCTCGTTTTAATACTCCACTAAACCTTGTCTCTAAGTGCCACATCTTGGTATCGTCTAGATACCTGCAGGGATATTCACTCAATCACTTCCCTGGGCAGCCTGTTCCAATGCTTTTGACAACCCTTTCAGTGAAGACATTTTTCCTGATAGCTATATTACACTTCCCCTGGCCCAACCTAAGGCTGTTTCCTCTCTCTCATCCTGTTGGTTATTACCTGGGAGACGAGACACACCCCACCTGGCTACAGCATCTTTTCATGGAGTGATGAGTTTATCATCCCTAGCCTAGCTCCCTCAGCAGTTCCTTACAGGACTTGTGTTCCAGAGCTTGTGCTGTTTCAGGGCAGTAAACTGAAAAGTTTCAGGTTGGTTTAATGTGCTACACTGTAGTTAGTTGTCTATGGCTTACTTTAATTTCAACTCAAAGTGGTAAGTAATTCTTAGGTCAGTCCTGGAAACAAGTGTGCATAGCTCTTTTGCCTCTTCTGTGTCACATTCCTTCTTTTTCTCTGTTACAAAGGAATTCTAGCGTGTGAAGTGTTGTTCATGTGTATGCAGTGGCTTGGCACTATGTTCCATGTCTAACACAGAACAATGCTTTGTCCTTACATGGCTTGGTAGCCAGTTTTGAATGTATGTGAAGAAGAAATACTTTGATTTTGTGGCTAAGAAAATGGAGATAAAGTGGCAACACCTCTTCCATGGCTCCCCAAGCCAAGCCTGTTGTGGTTATTAAGAAAACGTTGATTGTTAGGAAAGAGATATGACTCGCTTCTCATTTTGAGGTAGAAAATGAGCCAGAAATGGGAGATGTCGAGCTCCATCAAGAGAGCTTTGTTTGAGGGCAAAAGTAGTGAATAACTCTTTAAGGCCAGTTTTTCTTAGAAAACTGTCAGAAGCACTTAATTGTTTCTTGTCTACAGAAAGGCAAATGCATAAGAGCTCACATAATTCTAAGATTGACTAATTTTAAATGCTAAAGTCACTGCACACTAAAATTTGGACAATTATTTGTGATAACACTGAGTTAACAGTTTTGTAACACTCAAAGTGAGTAATTACCTAAGAGTATTCCAATTTCTGGCAGAAAAATTGATGCTTAGGTACTCATTTACATATCAAGGTCTTCCTGAAGCCCTCAGGGATCACAGCTTGCTCTTTTTGTTATGCAGTCAGATTTCAAGTGCAAAAAAGTTTGGGTTTATGTCCAGAAGTCTCTCAGATGTCAGTGTTTAGGTATCAAAATTGAACCTCAACAATAAGTATTAAAAATACAGAGAAATTATTATAAGTGATAGAAAGACTTTGTTGTGTACAAGTCCCTCAATTTCAGTGGAAATTCAGTTCTTCAGGTCCCAACTCAAACTACTGGAGGCATTCCCAGTGATCCAGTGGGGAAGTGCTTCCAGTGGGGAAGTGCTCCCATTGACCAGCTGCAGATACCTGGGCTGGATTTTCTTGAGTCTGGTAGAGTAAGAAATGAAGTGTCACCATTTTCTGGGCAGATATTTTGTTGTTTTTTGGGTTTTTTTTGTTTTTTTTTTTAATAAGAAATGGAACCTGTTGACAGATGTTGACAGAAATCAAACTCTTGGGTTTGGTTGCTGCTGAACAGTCACATTCTTTGCACATGGAATCAGTAGCTTATTGAGGTGCCTGAATTAAATAATTTTGTCTCATTTTAAGCAGCAGCTTGTACAGATCGTAGTCTCAGACATCAGCAAATGGTGTTGAAATAACCCCAAATGCTGTAGCTGGAGATGCCGTGTGAGAAGCTCCTGGGGCCCCTGAGTACCTGCCTATTGCATGCAAGGTTTTTAAAAGGATATTTCAGAGGGGGAAAGTGTATGAGGCCTTCTTTGTAGAAAAGATTTATCTAGAATTTAGACTAGACTTTGTGTTCTGAAGTTGCTAATTTTAAATAAGTGTTGCTTAGGGAATTTTGAAGGCTTTCTTGCCAACTGCTTTGTTTTATTGATGGATTATTTTCATAGTAGTGCTCCAACTGGTTTCTGATTTTTAGAAAGAAGCTTCTACCTTTATTTTATGTTTTCAGCCATTGCACAGGGTTTTAAAAGTATGGAGCTTCATTGTCTCTTCATTTGAACAATGCCAGAAGAATTCTTGAAACCAAACTGTGTTTTGATTTGAGTGTAATTTGTGTTTGCAGGTCATGTACCTCAGTGTCTTGTTCTTGGTGTCAGGATCTTACAGGTCATTAAAGATGGTTGGACTTGAGTTATTTACATTTTACTTTTGCTGTTTGGCCTGATGGCTGTTAACTGCCATTGACACTATGGAACCACTTTATAGTGAAACCTCCGGTGAGCCCCTTCACCTCTGCTCTGCTCTCTCTGCTCAGTAGATCACCCACATGGCAGCTGTAAGAGAGGAGCTGTCACTTGGCTTATGCCATTTAACATTGCATTAGGAGCACCAAGAGAAATTTACTATTTCACGTGATTATCAAATCCATTTGCCCTTTCCAAATTCACTATAAAGTGGGTCTGCTATGACTCTGAACTTCAGAGAAGCCCATGCTGATGACATTGCATAGATTATTGCATCCTAATCTTGCATGTCTTTTCTCAAAGCTTTCTTTTATTTTTAATTTATATTTCCTTTCTTGCTGCAGTTTTTTTTCTCTTATTTTGTATTGTAGGATCGGGATATTCACCCCTTGAAGATGACGAGGATGTTTATGCACGCAGTAGATACAAAGGTGAATGCTTTGCTTATGTGCTAAAGAGGATCAACTGCTTGCTGACAAAAGCTTCATTCTTTTTTCTTTTCATGGATTATACAATCGTGGTGATCCAGCTCCATGTTTTTTCTCATGGATATTTAGATCAAGATTTAATTTCTGCTGTTTCTAACAATGGAAATTAGACCAAATATTGATCACAACTCTTTCATGCACCCGAGTAAGTAACTTTTACATTGCCTTTGATCCTGGGAGATCAGGTTGTTGAATGATGAAAATCAGGAAGAGCTTCTCTTTCTTATCCATACATGCTAACAAAACCATCAATGATAAGCTGACTCAAAACCTGGGCTTACTGATGGTAATGTATACAAGTACATGCAAGAGAACTTGATTTTCATGAGTTTTTTCTTTCTGTAGAATTGCTTGCACTTCAGGTTAACCTGCTACCTGAAGTGCCAAGTGAAGTGTGTTTAACAAATGCACGTGTGCATTCCAAAACCAAATTATGTAGCTGGATGAGTGAACGGATGGGCATATTTATAAAGCAAATTCAGGTTTTCTTCCCTATTCTGGAAGACTTTGCCATTCAGCACGAGTGAGAAGTTTTTTGCCACTTCCATTTGCTGTGTCCATTTTCTAAAAAGTCTGCTTTTGTCTTAATATCACTCTCCTCTGCCAAAATTCCTCAGAAGCCTAGACATTAAAGAAATGTAGCATTTCATTTGTCACTTCAATGGTAACTGTGTTTCTTTTTAGTAAATTAATCTATGGATATACTAGAGTTGTCATCATTTTGATTACTTAAAAATACTGGTCATTGGTGTCTTGTTGTACATTATTGAGTCTCTGCAAAGAATCAATGGGCCATATAAGAGGTAAGTCACAAAATAATTCAGAAATTTATGAACAGCCAAGGGAAGACACAGCTTTTATGGCTATGCTGCTGTTTTCATAAATGTCTCATCTTCCTCCCAGTAAAATACTCAAGTATAAAATTTTGCTTTCAAACACATGCACAAATAATTTCCTAAAGCTTTATTTAGTTTAAGTAATTTTTTTGTTGCCTTCTAACATGTGATCCTCTGCAGACACATAGAAAAATAACTCAGACATCATGAAGATAAATCAATACCAATTCATGCCAGGGCAGGCAAGTAGTTAAAATGTGGATTTTGTGTAAATTCCTTTTGTATGGTGATCCAAAATGGATTATACTCGTGTCAGCCAAAATGTCACCAGGGTAAGTGAAACATAATGACTCATTCACACAGATATTAAAAACTGCCTCAAGTTTGGAAGCACTACTGCCAAATGTTGAGGAACAGACAATGTGAATCTAAGAATATAAAGCATTGGAACAGAAAAGGCTGATTCTTCATTAGCATACTTCTTTATGTTGGTTTTTGGGGGAAGGGGATGGAGAAAGACAAAGCAAGGAAAAACAGGCTGTGTAGCAATCTTCAGAGCTTCTCCTTAGATGTGCAGTCCAGCATTTTGGGTGTGGCCCATTTCTTAGCAAATACAATTTACCAATAACAGGAACTGAATGGATTTTTGTAATTGATGTTCACATGTGTAAGCAGCACTGGATTTTTCTTTCTACACATGTGCAAGCAAGCACACAGAGTCATCCTCTGACATCTGCAAACAAAACATTGCCATTTACTGGGTGAAAATCTACCTCCTACTAAACCCTTTTGTCTTTATCTGGATGTTTTCCCACTTGGTCAGCTTTCCAGAGAAACATGGCCAAGATTTTCTGTGCCTACAGCATTTTTAAGGAGTTTTTCCCTTCCTCCCTGGTGAACCATCAGCTCTGTTGGTTGGTGTAGCAGCAAGCAGCAGTACAGCTGGTCACTTTGTGTGCTCTTTGTGAAGGAAGGGCTCAAGGTGTTCAGACAGGACCAAGGGGCAGGGGGAGATGATGCTCTAGAAAGTGCATTCCTTCCTGCCACTTGGCATCTCTGATCACATTTCATGAGGAGAGGTTTCCTGAATACAGCAGTTCCTGTGTTCATCACAGCTCCAGTGCCACTGCTCCAGTGATCCTCATTCCTAATATGTTTTCTCAGATACTGTAATGATCAGGCAGTATCCATAGCTCTAAAGGCAACATTGGGGGTTCCACCATTTCTGTTTGCTGCCTGTTTTCCAGTGGTTTCAAACAGAGGATACACTACTAAGTGAAAATTCATGATATTGTACTGCTGAGGGACTTTTTAGTTCTTTTTTTTGTGCTGAGGTGCAAACTTTCTATTAAACAAAAATCCAGTGTATAGGTCCTGGTACCTCAAAACTCAATTTCAGTTGGGTGAACAGAGCCTGGTATAGATGGTGAAGTTCCAGAAAAGGTGTCTGGGAAATCTCTAGCTTTTATAATCCCCAAAGCCTTCAGGAACACGGTTAAGCTTGCCTTGAGGCAGGGAACAGCTTGTGTAACCCCTTGGGACCTCACACAAACCTAATATTCCACAAGTGCTCTATGTAGCTGCTTAGCCTTTGAAAACCAATATGTGCCTTCACTTAAAAATAAACAAACTTTGATCTAAAACTTTGTTATATTGTTTGATGTGCTTTTCAAGTTAGCTGAGTTTTTTTCCAGCAGTATTGCTTGGTCTAACCCCCAATATTTGTAAATGGCTTGTAAACCCTGCCTCACCCACTTTCTTCTAATCACAATCAGTTCTAGAGTAAGCATTGTAATGTTTTAAATCAAACAGATGTTCTCCCTAAACTCTTCAAGTTATCTGCATCCAAGAGCATGTTTGCTTTTGTTTTTCTTTCTGGCAGAATCATTTGGTTCAGTGTAAGATGCATTAAGATGGTTCTGTGTAGGAGCTTGTTTTGTTTCTGGAAACCACTGTAGCTGCAATGATAGTACAGGAAAGGCTTTTACTTTCTCAGTGTTGTTTTTGTGCATTAAACTGCATCTTTTACCTGTTAGTTATATTTTTAAAATATATGTATGTGGGTAGCTGTTTACTCAAGTCTAGTGTGTTTGTAAAACCACAAAAACTTAAAAAAAACCTCAGGCAATATACAACACCTGAAACAGATTCTTTGCCCTCTTTATTTTTTTTATTAGCCTCTTATATGCAAAGCATATTTTTCTTAACACCCTTTACAAAGGAAGTCAGCAATGTGCATTTGGAGTTTATACATGTGGAAAACCCAAGGCATAAATGTCTTGAACTGTTTTGCTGAAGGATTATATAACTGGCTGGGGTGAAAGCTCAGCCCAAATGAATTTTCATCCACCCAGTCCTGCCCTTGCAGACAGTGTTGTCTTAGTAACTTCATGTTTAAGCCCTTCTGCAGGAAAACTGAGTTCTTAGTTAAGGAGATCTTACAAGCTTGGGTATGTAAATGGATGGAAATTTAAGGTCTCAGGGTATGGGAAGAACAAGTGGGACAGAAAAGCTGGAGTGCATGAGACCACTGATGCTGAGATTGTGGGAAAGCTCAGGAGTAGGAGCATTTGTCCAGGAGGTGAATGAGACAGGGGCTGTGGATCCAAGATGTGTGGCTTCCCCCAGAGAGTGGTCAGAGGTGGTGCCTGAGACTGCACCAGCAGCCCTGGGGTAGCAGTTCAGGAGGTAGAGCTGGGTGTTGGCATCACTCATTTTTTCAGCAGTTGATTTCTGTTCCCATTAGCTCACACTCCTCATCTGTTGTCTCAGTTTTCATTTGGTGTGCAACAAGCATGAAAAATGGGAGCCACTGTGATACAGCCCCTCAACAAAATGGCCCAAGACAGTGGATGTGTGGATTCTTTAAATGTGTTGTGGGAGCTGTGGGATAGAGATTAGGGTGAAGGACAGGAAATAGTTCTAAAAAAAAAATCAAACCCCCAAACCAAAACCCACTCTCCACCAAAGCACTTTGCATAATTGTAAGGTAAATAGGAGGATATATTTGACATTCAGAAAGCAGGCTTATAGGTGGGAAGAAGCAGAGCTGGGACAACTGTGTGGCTGAGCCAAAAAGCTGAACTGTACTTTACCCTTAGCCTGAGGGGTACTGTTAGACTGGCGTGCTTGTGTCTGTGCCTCAGTTACTGTGTATTTGGTGACACTGGGAATAATTTCAGTTACACATCTGTGTAAAGGGTTTTTTACTTGTATTGCTGAAAGACAAAAATAAGCATATCATAGTACAACTGCTTCAGAAATGGACTAGTCTAGAGGAAATACGCTTTTGGTCTAGGCAAAAGATGGATAATTAGTCTCTGATTTTAGTCTGCAGATGCTGTTTGTGTTTATTCAGGACCAGCATTGATAAATACAGATGTAAGTGTAGTTTCCTTTGGGAAAGTGTAAATATGTCCTAGAGACATAGTGCACTAAATATAAATATTCCATGTATGAGAAATGCTGTATTGATTGTTGTTTGTTTATGTATATGGAGCAGATCCAACTAGTATAGGAAAATGCACTTAATAACTGTAGGAATTGAGCTAGAAGTGAACACCTGCCAAACATGATCTAGAATTTTTTTTAATACTGTTTGTGACTTTGTAAGTATGAAGGCTAAAAATCCTGTGTTTTGTTTGTTTAGGTTTTTTTTTTTTTCATCTTTCTTGCAAAATTATAATGTTTTTTCATGCCCCTCCCTCATTTCACTCATTGTCACACAGGATTTCAGGATTTGTCATCTTTCCTTTTTGCTTTGCAATCCCTCCCTCCCTCTCTCCTCTCTCAGTACATGCTTTTCAAATCTTGGATCTGAGAAAGGGGCAGGCTTAGTCACTCCTTGTGTAGGAAACTCCTAGTGAGGAGTTGCCCATTTTCTTGGTGCACCCCGTTGTCAAAGCTAAACAAAGAATGTGAAACTTTCTTTGGCTGGGAAGGGAGGTCTCTACTTGCTACTCTTCTCATCAGCACTACAGTGTGGTGGTAAATCCTCACAAGGCAGGGGTACCCAAATCCTGAATATTTTACAGCATAGGCCTGGCCAGTTAATAAAGGTTCAGTTGGAGCAGGTTCAGTGTGACATATTGGCAATATGATTTATGTAAGTGGTATCTTCTAACTGTGGGAGGGCTTGAATTGAGTTTTACAAGGCACAGATTATTATGGGAGCAGAACTTAATTTTTTTTTAAAATGAGCACTAAACTAAGTGTGGAAAGCTGACAACTGCAGCTAGATCAAGGTGTTCCTAGTGCAAACTTCTCTTATCAAAGAGCAAAAGTTAGATCTAACAAAATTGAATGTATCTGCTTAAAAACAAGAGGGAAAAACGGCCCAGTTGTCATCAAACTGCCCACATGGTGGCACACTTATTCCATGGACAAAAAGCACTGTAAAACCCTACCTGCCCTCACAACCCCTCCAATATAATGGCTACAATCTTTAATGCTTGTCATAAAAAAAGAGCTTCCCGTCTTTAAAGGGCTGACTTCCTGATGTGCAAGTGCACCTCTGCAGTGCTCTCCAGTTTAAAGATTGGTGGCTTTTTAAATAAGTGCACCTCTGCAGTGTTCTTCAGTTTAAAGATTGGTGGCTTTTCTTCTCTGTGACCTTGATTAAGCAAAGTGATTTTATATTTGTGTCTGAACTTTTACATTTTTCTAATTGCTGTGTGTGGGGCTTTTTTCTTCTCTGTGTCAGAAACACCGTGGTGCTCCCCCATTAAGGTGAAACATGGTTATGCAAACTGCAGGACACCTCAAGGGGAATATTACAAGAATGTGTTGGGCACAAGATGTGATATTCGCTGTCAGAAGGGCTACGAGCTGCATGGCCCTCACCAGCTAATTTGTCAGTCAAGCAAACGCTGGTCTGGGAAGGTGCTCTGCAAACGTAAGTGGTTGCAAAATCTCAGTGTGTGTGACTTGTGCTCCAGTTCAGACAAGAAATTCTTATTTGCCATTGAAACTGATCTTTGGATTGTTTTTTTTAAATTTATTTTAAAGGTTGGCAGTATGCTTGGATATGTAGATTAGTTTGTTGTTGAGGATCTCACGGGTGCATGACATGATAAGCCTCAGTGGTACAAACACTCTTGGCAGATACGGAATATTTTATCTATGTGAGATTTTGATTTGTGGGAATAGTTTTATGACAGAGCCACAAAGCTGTTTTAAAATATTGCCCATCTTAGACTTTCTAAGTTGACACAATTTGTACCAGGTGTCTAAATGGGCTTACAGTAAAACATTTTCTGAGAAGAGAGGAATAGGTACCTGTCATCCCTTTTCTCATTAAATATTGTATCAGGCCACTAACTTAAGTAGAGTTAAATTTGAAACACAGCTAATGAGAACAGTGTGGAAAAACCTCATGTGGAACAAGACTTTCTCCCACTTATTGTTTGCCAGCTATGTCTTTATTTCTGTGTAATACCCCACATGTGCATTACTCTAAAGGGAGGGTAACAAGTTTCCAGGAGTCTTCGTTTCCTTTTCCAGAAAAGCGGTGCCCTACCCTGTCCATGCCAACCAATGGGGGCTTCAAGTGTTTGGATGGTGCCTACTTTGGCTCGAGGTGTGAGTACTACTGCTCCCCGGGCTACCAGCTGAAGGGGGACCGCATTGTCACCTGCATGGACAGCAAGGCCTGGAGCGGCCGGCCGGCGGCCTGCGTCGGTAAGTGACGTGTTGGGGTGCTCGGTCTCATCCCAAGGTACCTGCCACTGCCAAATCCTCCACACATCGACTCCAAAAGGCCTTTTTGATCCAGTTCATGGGGACAAAAAGCTACTGTCCTGTGGGATTCACAGTCTCTGAACCTGAGAGAAGCAGTGAGAGAAGCAGAGAAGAGAATGATCAAAACAATTCTTCTCTCATTCGCTGTGCTGGTGTTTGTGCACAAGTGGAATGCATTATGGAAGATCGTTTACCTGAAGGAATTTGGTAATTGGATTCTGATGTGAGTGGTTTGTTCTCTTGACCAGTCCCTGCAAGACGTGTCCTGACGGTCAGGAGACAGTCAGGAGATTTTGTTCAGTTGAGTTCTTGTTCAGTTTGAGTTTAGATCTAATACAATATGGAATAATACAGTATAATAAAGTAATTATTTAGCCTTCTGATATCATGGAGTCAGATGCATCATTCTTCCTGCCAGTCGGGCAAAATAGCACCAATACTGTCCCTCTTAAGGGACAGTATTGTCCTTAAGGAAGCAGAGAGCAGTTTTCCAAGGGTGTGAGGTTCTGTCACTCAGTACTTTCAGTCCAAAGCAGTAGCCAAGCATTGCCACTTTAACAGAGATGAGTGGTGTAAATGGCCAGCACTTTACAATGCTTCTCATAGCCTTTGGTGATTCCTGAATGACTCCTTGATAGCCTGTGGTTACTGTGCTGCTCTTCCAGCATGTTCTCTGTGCTGGAATCTGTCACACTCTCTTCTGCTTAATGATGAAAAACAGGTTTTAAAGTAAACCCATTGTCTGAACTGTTGTTTTCCTTGGGATCATAGTCTTGAAGTATATCCAGAGAATGTGAATGGATTGTAGTTACCAGCATGGTTGCAGTGAGCTAATTTAAATTTCAGCCTAGTTCACTCTAGTTATGCCAGCAATGTTCATTATATAGTCAATGGTCTCCTGGGAACCTCGGCTGGAAGAAGTATTTCTATATACATAAATCAGAAGAGAGATAAACAAATATTGAGATTTAACTTTCCTGACTACTAATGAAATTTCAGCACATAGTGAAGTCTCAGCCTGCTGCCCCTGTTTCTGGGAAGCCTCTGATAAAAGCTTCAGCAGCCACCCACAAAGGAAAGTATTTTTTGGCCATCTGAACTGGCTACCAGTAATTTAAAGCATGTGGGTGGTAGAGTGTTTGTGCCTAGTGTCTTGTGTGTATGATAACTTGGTTTTCCTCAGAACGCCTGTGGCTCAGTCTAGGTTGGCAAATGGCTTTGGTGCGTCTCCACTGTGGCCTGATGTTCATAAAGCATTTTTCAGGTTTCCTGTTTGGTGTTGTACAAATGTAGAAATGAGCTGCTTGGATCTAGACTGTTTGTGGTCTCTCTTGTTTTTGTTTGCAAAAACAAGCTTTGTCCTTCTCAGTGGTGTGGGCAGAGGAAGGAAAACAAACCTTTTATGTTTGGAAATGATAAAATATTGTCCTCTGTATTTCCTGGCACTTTCAGAAGCTCATCTGTTAGGAGAGATGGTGAGCTTATTACAAAGGATGCTGTCTTGCAAAGTAAGCAAGTACCTTAAGCAGTAAAGAGGCTAAGTTAGCACTAACACTTCTTTTTTATTCTAAAAATGCAGAGTAGTTGTTACACAGGGTTTCAAGTCCCAGTTGTTGCACAGGATTCCAAGTCCCAAGGATTACAAGTCCCAGGTAACCCAGTAAAAGTAACGCTAAGATTTAAGTTGTGGTAGTACTGTGTAGTTTGGAGAAGGTCCCTTCAAATCTTGTGTGCACAGAGTTTCTATATGCAAATAGTGAGTTCTGCTGTTAACAGACTGTTTAATAAGGTTATATTTTGACCTCTTGATAGGCAGGATAGAGATTTTTTTTTGTGACCAGACATCACAGACATAATTGTGGCTAGGCATAATTCTAACAGAAAAATGACATTTGCAATTAAACACTTCTTCTTTAGTGTAATGCAGAAGTTACAGAACTGCAGCCTACACAATGGCCAGGAGAGGACTGACTTGAACAGCTCACTTTCAGCTGAGGAGTGAAATTGAGGAGAGCAATGAAATACAGAGGCAAAAAGGCTGCTTAATTTCTTAACTTTGATATACAGTTAGTTGCACTGTGCACAGTAGGGATGCTATTTGTGATCAGAGGCATGGGCTGGTAAACTTCATGTCATGGAAGTGTCCTGGGGATTCCACAGCTTTTGGCATTGATGGCTAAAATTACTTCAGACTTGAACTTAAAGTGCTCTTGAAAACAAGGGGCTTGCCTCTACCCTTTTCTACTGCAGTTGCACTGTGTAGCATTTTTGCACTAAATTATGTGGGCTTTGCAGTACAGCAGTGAAGATCCATGTAGGAAAGGCATAAGGCCTTTCAGTAGTCAAACATGTATTCATGAAAAGGAATAAAAAAAGGTGTATTTTTAAAATTAGATATGTTTTAGCAGTGACTTATAGAAGTCCTTCTAGTTAGTGAGTATTCTGTCCTAACAAAGCAGACTGCCTCCTGCCCCCACCCTGTAAGAGGAAGGATATCCCTCATGTTGCTGAAATAATTTTGATTAAAAGAAAAATCAATGTACAGCTGGTTTTAGTTATCAGCTAAAAATGCCAATACTCATTTCAATAATATTTCCATTATATCTTTCATGCACTGTAACATGTATTGAAATAGATACTTTCCTCTAGAAGATTGCAAAATGTCTCTGCCTTTTCTTCTGGAAAGATTGCCTTTTCCTGCTGATTGTATAACAGAGGTTGTGGTAAATGGCTGTCACCAACTAAGTCATCCTTGTGTCACATCCTGAGGCTGTATTGATAGGATGCTTGTCCTAGTAGTGCTGGCTACTGATGTAAGACATTATTATAAAGGTTACTAGGAAAAAAATCAAATGCAGCATTGATTCTCCACAAAATGGTAATTGTGCCAGTCTTCTGTTTTTTCTCATTTTGCCATTACTGCAGGAAAAATAACCAGCATGTTAAGAGTAGCATGCAGAGTTACTGTGCAGAGACAGATTGATGTTCAGTGTGCTTTAAAAATGCTCTTAATCACATCAACTACTGCACAGATGGACAAAGAAAAGGAGGCAGATAAACAGAACATCCAAGCTCCTTGGGTGTGATTTTGGACATCCCTCCTTGGAGTTCAAAGCCATCCAAAATGACTGTTTAACTGAACTATGTACAGAAATCTACAGTAACTACTTTTGGTGGGGTTTTGTGCATTGCAAAGGGCTGATCATTGTCAGCTCTTCTTACAAAAAGGTGAGAAGTAAAGGCTCCACGCGCCTTGGCTGGGATGAATCCAGGGCTGAGGAGGCCAGCTGGAGGTTGTCCTGGGCTACCCTGACAGCAGAGAAGGAGCTGTGGAGAAAATGCACAGCTCTGGCAGATGCTCCAGTGCCCTTTTTTGTCACATTGATTTCAACAGATACTGAACCTCCGAGGATCCAGTGCCCGAGCGTGAAGGAGAAATCCGCGGAGCCCAACAAGCTGACAGCCAGAGTGTTCTGGGACACGCCGGAGGGACGCGACACCGCCGACGGGATTCTCACCGAGTGGGTGAAATCTCTGCACGTGTGCTTTTCCTCCTTCTTACTCTTCTGTTAGCAATTCAGCAGGCCAGGTACCCTTTCCCCTTCATTCATCCTAGGTGCTTTTTTATAGCTGTCACATATCGCTGCTCTATAAAGAATTGCGTGTTTGAAGGTGAGTTGTTCAGGAGCTGGTTACCCAGTTGGGGGTATTTGGAGCTGGTGGAATAAACAACAGCAGCATTTTTACTGCACCTGTGAAGTTTTGCAGAGCTTCTTTGTGGGTGTCATAATTAACAAGTTTTCTTACACCAAGTTACCTTTGTACATAAAAATGAAAACAGAGTAGTGCATTGGAGATAACAGAAGAGGTAAGTTTGACTGTCTTAAAAAAAGCAAGGTGTTTCACAAAATAAAATCTGCAATCATCTTTAGGTTTCTTCTTAAGGTAGTGCTGGCTACTGATGTCCCAGGATTCTGCAGTTACCTTTAAAGTAACGTTTCTTGTTTGTAACCTTGATGGATTTAAACAATGGATTTAGACATTACAGTTCAAAAATATCTTCGTCACTTTCTACGTTTTTACAGTCCCATTTTGCAGAAGAGCAGGGTGTACTTCTCATGGTACCACTGTCTCTCATTTTCCCATTTTTATCATGCAGGATTTAGGTCAATCTATCTGGATTACTATAATGGTGGGAGCATGGAAAATCTGTTTCTTTCAGTAAGCAAGTGACATCATTACATTAGTGGACTGGTTAAGCTTAAAAGCTCAAAGTTGTTAAGCTTGAAGATGTTTACAGTTTCATGTGAAAAAAACCAAAAAAATAAATGAAAGACAATGATATTGCCCTTTTATTGGTATAATTTGATAATTTCATAAAGAAGAATTCATTACATAATTAAAAACTTAATTGCCATTGAGGTCTGATGTAACAATTTGGTGACAATTAACAACATCAAAAACTACACCTAAACTTGTAAAATGTCAGAATGAAGACATTCCTAAAAATAAATGACTGATAGGCAAAAAACCAGGGAGTATCCTATGTGGACTTTGTCATACAAGTAACTGTTGTCAGCTCAAAAGAAACAAGCTCTTGGTTCAGTGGAAGTTTTTCCATAAATCACATCACTACTTTATAAAATATTGCTAAACTCTGCTTTTTTATAGAGTATGCAGTGCTTTTCTTAAATGTACAGACCTTCAGTTTCAGGAGTACAAAAGCTTTTCCATTACATGGAAACCTCTTTGATTGCATGCTCTCTGCTTTGGTACTGAGATTATGATTTACACATCTGAATTCTCCCACCTTATTTGCAGGACTGGGGCAAATTCCAGGTGAAAATGCTGCTGTGGATCACCACACCCTTCTGCTTGTGACACTGAATCTCACTTTCTGTTCCATTTCTATACATATTAACAGTCACAAATGATAATCATAGGAGCAGTTCAGAGCAGCCAGATGGGAATACATCCCCACTGTAAGAGGCTGGAAGTTTTCTTTCTTAATGTTGACTTTTTCTTATATAAGGAGAAGGAAGCTTGAGCTCCTCTGGGCATGATGGGCTTGGCTACACTGGATTGTTTTATAGGAAGGGACCAGACCCTGCCCACTCTAACCCTCTTGTCTCAGCAGGGTGAGCTGTGGATAGCAAATTTAAATACTCTGGTTGCTGCTGCCCAGCTTCTTCCTTTGCTTACTCTCAAGTCTTCTGTCCTGCAGGCAGCCAGACAATCCTAGCATGCCACAAACCTCCCTCTTCAGGATTTTACAGCATTGTGAGTAAAAAAATACTGGTGAATTTATGGATGTCTGTCCTGTTTTATCTCTTGGTTTAGTGTTATTTTGAAAGGCCTGCCACCAGGGTCACATTTTCCAGAAGGTGACCACAAAATCCAATATACTGTGTACGACAGAGCTGAAAACAAAGGAACTTGCAAATTTCTTGTTAAAGTCAGAGGTAAGGATGATGTTTTACCTGCAAATACAGACACTGATTTGCACCTGGCTTAGTAGGCAGTTTGAAAATGTCCCCATTTCTGTATTTATCTACATATGTCTGTGTATAAACTCCTGTGATGATGCTGAAAGGAGAACAGAGTCTTTCTGAAGACCCTGGGGGCCAGGTCTGCAGCGTTGCTGCACAGCCAGGAAGAGCTGCTTTTATCAGCCCTGCCTCCAGCTCCACACCCCTTCCCTCCTGCCAGCTTCTCCTGCTACATAGCCTGTGAGCTGCTGAAATGAGGAGGTGAAGGCATTTTTTTCACATCTCTCAAGCAGGGCTGCCCTTTCACAGGTCCAGATGTTAACCTCTGGAGTTGAATATACAGAGGTGACCTATAGTTTTCAGCTTCAGCCCTTTGTGCTTCATGACCTTTTGTCCCATGCATACACCTACACATCTGTTTCATTTTACGTAAGAGTTGAGGGATGGGGGAGTTCAGGTTGGTTGTTTGGGGCTTTTAAATGCATGACTAATAACACAGAAAGCAAACAGAAAAATGTCTTTGGTACTGGTAATCCACTGACCTGTGCTGCCTTAGTAACAAATGGTGATTCATGCTGTGTCTTTCAGTTTGGTTTTTTTTTTTCTCTTCCTCAAAGTCAGGCGCTGTGTGAAGTTAAATGCCCCAGATAATGGCTACATCAAGTGCTCAGGTGATGGAAATAACTATGGTGCTACCTGTGAGTTCTCCTGCATTGGTGGCTACGAGCTGCAAGGAAGCCCAGCTCGAGTCTGCCAGTACAATTTGGGGTGGTCAGGAGTGGAGCCAACCTGTGCACGTAAGTGAGTATTTCACCACTCTGCCAGGAGGAATCCAGCACAATGGTGCTTAGGGCAGTGAGAATTTGGGAAGGGGGTGTGGGGTGGAATACAACTGCAGTGTCCCAGAGGTAGGAAACTTAGAATTTTCATCTACTCTGCCATTTTGCACTTAATAGCTGAAGCCTGACACCTTTGACTGCTCTTTCCTAGGGTTTGTTTTAGCTCAAAGCTTTCTACAGAATGTCATATTCTGGAGTCAATCCATTGTGCAAGCTAGAACAGTCTACAGTAAAATTGTTGGCTTCAATGAGGCCAGAATTTCACTCATGTCTTCTTTATTATTGGTTCTTGTTTTTGTGTTTCTGCTGTTGAACTCTGCCTCTAGAAATAGACCTGTTTTCAGTGTGCTCCATAACTTTTGTTTTAATTTTATTCCAGCCATGAATATTAATGTGAATGTGAGGACTGCAGCTGCACTTCTGGATCAGTTTTATGAGAAGCGGAGACTGCTGATTATTTCAACTCCTACTGCTGCTAACTTCTTCTACAGGATGCAGCTGGGGATGCTGCAGGTAAAACACATTTAAGAGGGATGTGCAACTTTTTTTTTTTTTAAAAGAAAGACACAAGAGAACAAGTTCCACTGTTTTATATAAATCAAAAAACTTCTGCTTTTATATTGTAGCCTCTGGAAGATCTGGCTCAAGCAGTCATGGTTCCAGATTAATCCTTTTCATAGAGGTTTGAGTTGAAATATCCCCCCAGTCTCTAACTCAGCTCCATTTAGGATTGTGCTGCCTCTGACCAGTCACTGAATCCCAGGCAGTTCTGGGCCTTCTGTTCTCCCGAAATTAATTTAACTCGTGCTCAAAAATAATTCCCTATCTCAGCTGCTAAAGAAGTTTAAAAAAAAACCACAAACCCAACTCTCCAGCTCTTAAGCAGCTCATGCAGACCAGGCTTACAGAATTTGCAACTACAATGCAAGGAATTGTGAATAGCTTCAGAAATAAAAAATGCACCAGCAAACAAAGGACCAGAGACACAGCACAGAAATCATTGAGGGTGCTGGAGGTAACACTGGGGTGTTTTGTTCCAAAAAACCCAAAACACCTGCTAATTTTCTTTCTTATGTGTTGTAAGTGTAATGTCCTTGTTGGCTTTTTGCTAGTCTTAGGGATAGATTTCCAAAATGTATCTGTGTCCTCAGGGAAAGGAAGGAAAGGAGCCAGGTCTGTATTCTTTCACAGCTACAGGTGCTTGTGTCTTGTTTTTTCTTCTCACAAATTGTAACAAAACATGGTATAAATAATCATTGAGATATGAATGTGATGATGTTTTTTACTACTGGCTTACACTTGTATTTATGGAAAAAAAAAACCAACAAAGCAGCTCCTTTTTCCTATTAGATAAACTTGGCAAGAAAATTCAATATATTGATCAAACTGAATTTAATGGCTATAGTACATTTTCCACTTCTTGGCAGCGGGCAGATGAGTTGGCATGGAAGAAAACTTTCTGCAGTCAATTTCTGTTTCACATAATTTGCTTTGATTGCCAAATTAGGTTATTGGTACAATGCTTAGTATCCTGGCATCTTCTCATATAAGAGACAAGAGACAAGTTGATATTTCTCCTGGTGGTCCCTGTGTGTTGGTTTCCTTAGAGTATCTGAGAATCTGTTACTTAACCTCCCCTGGAGTCATGAAGCTCCAGTTCTTTGCTGTGAGAATTTGAGCGTTTGCAAAACATGCTCTCAAATCAATATGAAACATTTAACTAACATAAGAAGAGGGGACTCTGTGAACACCTGCTGCACACTCAAAACATCCCCCTGTTCTCTCAGGGATAACCAACACCTCTCTCTCTCTGTCTCTCTCCTGTGAACCCTTGCAGCCAGCACAGTGTGGGTTAGACCTGCGACACGTCACCGTGGTGGAGCTGGTTGGTGTCTTCCCAGCACAGATAGGAAGAATAGGTGTGAAGCTGCTTCCCCCATCACTTGCCTTGCAGCTCAGGTAAAGGAACCTCTCACTGCTGTTGTTGTTTGCACCTTATCCTATAAGTTGCATTGCTTTTGATCCCTGCATCTTACTCTCCAAATACCATGTACTCTAATGTACACAGCTAGACGCTGGAAAGTAGATATTGGTGAGCACACTTGAGGATTAATTTGCTGTCTGTGTAATAGCTACAGCAAATTAAAACACAGTAACAAATGTATTTAATCATGTATTTAATAGGACTATGTTCATAGGCATATAAGTCTGTATTTTTGGGTGCTGCCACTGAAAACGCTTCAGAGTCTGTCTGTATTTGTATTGGAGTTGCTCCTTTACAAGGACAGCCCCAAATGGCAGAGACAGCCCATCCTCTGCACCAGGGCTGGTGGTGGCTGTGGCCAGGCTAAAGGGGAAACTCTTTGAAGTCCCATAGTAGGAATGAGATGGACAGTATTTCAAAGAGGAAATTACGTCAGCCTCCCCAGCCTGACTGCAGCATCAGCAGTTTTACTGAGGTCCCTAAACTGTTTTGACTTGGGTTAGACTGGCAGAGGATTGGTTTTCACTTGAAAGGAAGACTTCAAGGGCCAGCATTTCCTAAGGACTGGAAGAGGAAAAAAATCCAAAAGTGAAGACCTCATTGGCAGGAAAAGAAAGAGTTGTTTAGAATAAAGTCAATGAGTATTTTAAGCAACATAATTTATGATATGCCTGAGGAAAGGGAGTAAGTTTTAACTGGAGACAATGAAACTTGCTGACACAGCAGAGAGGGAATTTTTTCAAATTATTAAAAAAAAAACTGTTTTCAATAAAAGAAAAAGGAGAGCACAAAACCACTCTTTTTTTTTTTTTAATAAAGATACTTTTACTAAAGTTGAAATGGTTTTCTTGTGGCTCTGTAGAAAATAATAAACTGTCTTAACACCTCATTCCCTGATCCCTTGCAACCTTTAAGGAAGCTACATTTCAGAAATTGGTATAGTATGACCTGCCTTGCACTCAGTGAAAGTTAGTTTTCTATTGATTTTGTCTTTGTTATTGCTTAGTGTGTGAATTACAGCTTTCCAGTTCTGCAAGGTGCTCAAATCAATATGAAATGCACTCTTAAGAGTAAAGGTGTTGTCCAGAATTGATATTTCAGTAAGCTAATGAGCACAGGTGCCCCAGTTAAAACTTTGGAAAGCACTGAATTATAGCATTTAGATTTTTAGAAGCATTTTTTCTCAGGTAATATATAGCACAAGATGAATGTATTTTTGTATCACTATTGCTTAGCTTTAATCTTTATTTTAGTTTGAATTTAATGGCCAAGCTCCCTAACTGCAACAAGACTATGCCTAGCGCACTCAGACTTGTTAGGAGGCTGAGGAAGGCCAATTTTGGTGCTTCACACCTTTTCAAAATCCCCCCAGATTCTTCTTCATGGCAGCTTTCTCTCATTCTCTCATGGCTGCCTGAATTTATTTACCCCACATCTAATGATGTTGACTGACTGCATATCTAAGCATCTTCCAGTATATTACTCCTTCAAGCGAAGATGGAAAGAGCACCACAGATAAAGTTTTGTTACTTACGTAGCTTTTGCTACTAGAGGAATTTAAATGATCACTTCCACCACTTTGGAAGGACTTCTCCATGATCAGCAGTGGCTTTTGTTCCTCTAAAATTAGAGTCATAGATGATTGTTACTATTAGGAAGCAGTGAAAGCAGACTCCAATAATTTTGTCCTGCTTTTTCTTACTGTGATTTTTTTATACCAAGGAAAACCAAGAAGTGGAAGCCAAGAAAGTGAATAGTCTTACTTGCAACTCAAGCTTCCTCACAAGGGTTTTCTTTAGGCAATGTTCATACTTTTGTTTTTTTTTTGTCTAACCTTGTTTCACTCCTGTGACAGCAGTGGGTTGTGGCAGAGAACAGAGCTGGGTGCAGTCACTTTGACTCTCCTGTAATGCAGAGGCGTCTGCTCTTTGTCTGGCTCCTTGTTAATGCTGAAACCAGTTGGACTCTGTGTAGCCCCTGTGACCATGCCCACCTTCCTCACTGAGCTCAGACTCAAGAGGCTGGTGCTGCCCTTTAACAAAACCAGTTCCTTACTTTGCAGGCTGCTGCTGAGGATCCCCCACTACAATTTCAACATCGTGGTGATGGACAAGCATGGCATGGACAAGGAGCGCTACCCTTTCCCAGCAACACCAGCTGAGCTCTTTGCCCTTATTGACAAATTCCCCTTGAGAAAAGATGAGATGAAACTGCAAGCAGAAATTGGTCAGTCATGTCCCTAATTCAGCATTTCAGGGCTTGCAGTTGTCGGTGAATTTTTTTAGTCCACAGAATTCTCCCCTTGGTGCTACACAAAGCGTGGCTTTTTAAATCACTGAAGTGATTTTTTGTGTATTGGTAAATCTGTCCAGCCATGCAGCTGCTCTGCATAGAAGGGTGCACGATGCTCTTTTGTACTTTCAGTCATCTTTAGATCATAGAATGGCCTGGGTTGGAAGTGACTTTAAATATCGAGTTCCAACCCTGCTGCCACATCTTGCACTAAACCAAGTTGCTCAGAGCCCCATCCAACCTGGCCTTGAACACTTCCAGGGATGGGGCAGCCACAGCTTCTCTGGGCAGCCTGTGCCAGTGCCTCCCCACCTGCACAGTGAAGAATTTTCCCCTAATATCTAATCTGAACCTGTTCTCTTACAAGTTCAAGCCATTCCTCCTTCTCTGTCACTCCAGATTCTTGTAAAAAGTCCTTCTCCATCTTTCCTGTAGGTTCTGTTCAGGGACTGGAAGGCCACATTTAGGTCATCCTTAAGCCTTCTCTTTTCCAGGCTGAACAATCCCCATTTTCTCAGCCTTTCCTCACAGGAGAGGTGCTCTGTCGCTCTGATCATCTTGGTGGCCTTCCCTGGACTTGCTCTGACAGGTTGATGTCCTTCTTCCTGCTGGGGACCCCACAGCTGGATGAGTGTGGATGTAGGATTTACTACCTAATGGAATTGCTTGTACAGAGAGTAAAGAACTGAGGCACGTTTCTGGGAGTTTATTTTGGATTTTTCATTCAGTGTAAAATTGGGGTTTCTTTCTTACTGTTTATAATTCTTTTTATTAATAAAATATTGTTTTGCAAACGGATAGTTGTCTAAAATTCCTCTTGTGGGTTAAAGTTGGTCAATTGATACAAAAGTTGGTTCAAAATATATTTCTGCAAACCATTATAAAAGACATTAACCTCACAGTGAAAGTGTACAAGAAACCCACTGGTGCCTTTTACTTCCACTAAAAAAAGTGTCAATCACAGACAAAAAGCATGAGCCAAAGACAACACAAGCATTGATTTTCAGCAGCAGCAAGGAGAAAATTGGTGAGAGCAGGAGCATGGAAGTCATTGCCACAGGGAACATGATGAAGGAGCAGTGATCATTGTAGAGGATGGGCAGTAATTACGAAGACCCATGTACTGCAGTTCTTAATAGGAACATATGTTCTTACCTGCTACACTTCTGCTTCTGGCTTTTAATGTCCAATAGTCTTGGAGTAGCAGACTTTTTTCTCCCCCCTTCACCTTGGAGACAGACCAGGCTGTTGATTTTGATGGCAGGGAAACATTACTCCAGGGAAACATCATCAAAGATTTGTCACTTCCAGAGCTGTGAAAATACTTGTTTGCAAGTCATCACTTCGAAATTAACAAAAAAAAGTTCCATGTTTAATAAAAAAATACCAGGAGGCAATCAGAGCAGGAAAAAAAATTTCATTTGTTTTATTACAGCCCAGAGTCTCAACAATCCACTGCAAAGAATACACATCATGCATGAAGAATACAAGTATCAGAGGAGTGAAAACTGTGAGTTACAGTTTGGATGCCTGTTCACAGGGTATGATACATAATTTGACTGTCTGAGCTAGCACTCCAGCATCTGTGCTGTTCATTCCTGCTCCTCAAAAACACATTCTTTTTTCAGCCAAATGCTTGTTTGACTTTGACCATAAGGTAGAGTTTTAAATTTTACAGTGATGTCAGCAGAAGAACAGTTTTAGCAGCATCTTTAAAGCAATCCTTACCAGAATTTGGTCTCTTGCATCCTCTGAAATGACAAAAAAGAAAGAAAAGAAAAAAAAAAAAAAAAGGAAAGAAAACTCTTTTAAAAAAGATTGGTCCTGCAAGTGAATTAATGAGGGAGTGGATGTGAAGAAAGGTAAGTCAGCCTTGACACCAGCTGGCCCCAAAATTAATTTGTGGGCTGAAGCATGACAGCACCAAGGAGGAGCAGTGTTGGGGTATGCCGTGGACAGGATGATCTGCTCCCCAGGGTTAGGAGAACACCCAAGAGCAGCTGTGAAAGCATGGCTTGGCCCTGCAGTGCTGGTGCCAAAGGCCAAGAAGGTCAGGATACACCCTGAACTCTGCAGGTGGTGGTGCCAGGATGAGCAACTCAGGGGCAAGGAAGCCCTGGGCTTTCCAAGTATTGCTGTTAGGAACAAGAGGCAAGGTTAGGATTGGTGACAGAAATCACCGAAATGCCATTTCTCTTCCAGACCTGACCAAACAAACAAATGTCGAACCCACTGTAAATGAGCAAGGAGGGTGAGAGCCTGTGCGGTGGTGGACACAGCTGTACCCCAAGCTGCCTTCCCTCTGTCAGTGGTTAAGGAAATCAGGGCTGGGCACACCAAGGACCTGGACCTGTGTAAGGAGACCAGAGAAGAACCCCTGAGGTGGCCCAAGGGCTGGAGCACGTCTCCTGTGGAGCACTGGGGCTGTTCAGCCTGGGGAAGAGAAGGCTCCAGGGAGACCTTAGAGCAGCCTAAAGGGGCTGCAAGAGGACTGGAGAGAAATTTTCAGAAGGGCATGCAGTGATAGAAAAGGCCTTAAGCTGAAGGAGGACTGGTTTAGATTAGATGATAGGAAAAAATTCTGAGGTGATGAGGGCCAGGAATCTGGAGGTTTTCAGCGCCTGGTTGCATGCGGCTCTCTGGAGCATGGAAGATTCCCTGTCCATAGCAAGGAGATTGGAGCAAGATGATCTCAACCCAAACCATTCTGTGATTCTGTGCCTGTGGAACAGAGGCAGCCCAAGGACACATCCATACACAGACTGCTGTGGCCCCAGCTCTGGCTCAGGTTCTTTAGCATGAATCGCAAGTGGACAAGTTTAGGGGTTTTTTCCCCCCTCACTTTTCTCACTGAAAAAGGAGAGCAACTGATTTCCAATGATTTAAAATCTATTACAAAAATAAAAATCTCGGATGGGTCTGATTTTTTTCCTGTATTGCTGCAATTCCAATCTGCTGCTGCTCCATTTTGCTTTAGGTACAGGGTTGGTGCATCCAGTCATCTTTCACAACTGGATGAACAGGAGCAGGGCTTTACAATTGCTGCAATCAGGGAAGTGATTGCAATCACTAGGCTGTTACAGGAAATTGAATTAAGTGGAGGAGAGTGCATGAGTGATTGGATTACTAGTTATATTCTGCACAGAACATCTATTAAAATCCCGTGATTAAGAAAAGCTGTTCTTGATTAGTAATACAAGGATTCTGGCATTTTCTGTTGTATGTTTTTGTGGGGAACAGTGAAAAATAGCATGTGCCATCTCTGTTTTGGAGATCAGCCTACGTGTATGGTATGCAGGGATTTGGTAGAATGGCCTTTTGGGAGTATTTGAACAAGGAATTTAGTAGTTCCCAGCATTTATATATGCAAATATATTCTAGTAACTCATCCTGTGTGCTTCTGGTCCCAGAAAAATAACACTGCATAAGCAGGGTTCAGTATCTATACCAGTGCACTTTATTCGTTAAAGGCTTCACAAAAAATTCTCCTCCCTCAAGGCTGCACTGGCTGGAGCCTCTCTCATACTACCAACTCTTCTTGCCATAGCTCTAATCCTACCACTGCTGTCAAAATGCAGATCTGACTGAAAACACCAATATTAGACCTGCCATAAGCCTTAGCCTTTCCATCCCACCTCCAGGCTGTTCATTGCAGGAAATGTGACACATCACAGTGTGTGGATACAGTCATGGTCTTGGAGGTTCCTACATCAATCTGGAGGTTCTGAGTATGAACCAGAAGACTTCAGTTATTTCAGATGAGAAAAGAATTACTGTTCCTGACATGCAGCATCTTTTACAAACAAAACTATTGAGATAAATCGTGGGAAGCAGCAGTTTCTCAGCAAAAAACAATTTTGTAAATGGCCTGATTTTCCCCAGATTCTACCCAATAATCCACCTAATTAGATGAGAACAGCCCCTGCTGTCACACACCTCCTCTACAGCTGCAGAAGAGAGACAAATTTGAAATTGCACATCCCTATTCTTGAAGTTCAAAGCCCTCTGGGACAGAAAGTGTTGTGTTTTAATGAAAACACCAATGATCCTTCACAGCTCTGCACTAAACGACCACAACATGGGATTCATTACAGCTCAGTACTTACATAAGAGCGTGAGTCAGACTGCATCACATAATTAATGAAAATGCAGAGCCTAAAGAGTAACCTGGAGTGTATTTAAATACTCTAATGATCACAACCCACTTTTTAAGTTGAGGTGGGGGAATAATAGAGCTCAGGCTGTGCAATCTCAGTGCTTGATCACTTCCAGCCACTCACCACAGTCTCTGCTCCTGCTGTGCGTCCACTGGAAGCAGAAAGTGCTTCACACCATCAGGAGGTGGCACAGCTCCTCTTGGCTGTGTAGCTGCTGCCCATTTCTCTCTCCCCATTGGTAGCTGGAGGATATTTTTATGGCAGCTTGGTGAAGGGAAGAGTGGGAAACCACCTGCAGGTGCTGGAAGGCGGAGAGCAGCAAGGCTGCCTGGTCTAGAGGAGCCAGTGAGGACATGGGCAGCTGAGGAGAGCACATGTGGTTTTTCTCTGGCCTCTTTCAAGCAGTGACCCAGCTGCTGCATGCTCTTTGGAGCACAGAGGGAACAAATGGAAATGCCAGTGTCCATGCAGAGTGTGCTAGTGCATATCTAGTTAGCAACACGCCTCCCATTGCCACCCATGCAGCCAGAAAGTAACCAAAACCTGAATTTCAATAATTTGCATGGCCCATACTTCAAATTTACAAGGTGAATTTGTTATGTGTCACCTCTAAGAGAGGGGGAGGAGGAACTACAATTCAGTTGTACAGGATTGACAGAGGTGCCTTCAGGACCCTCAGGCAAGTCCTTGAGTACAGTCCTGAGCAAAGGTACAGAGAGCAAAGGCAGGAGCTCAAAGCACACCAAGAGACCACTGAGCCCTGCTGAGCTGGTCTCCCCTTAACCTGGGCACAGGAACTGAGCCAGGCTTCCAGAGAGAGCAGAGGCAGCACAAGCCCTGAGCCCAGGGCTTGCCTCTTTTCTCTTTTCTGTGCCTGGGGAGGCACAGCAAGACACAAAAGCCCAGGGAGGTGGAGAACCACAAGAAGATGTAAGAGAACCCTCAGCTCTGAGGTAAGTTGAAGGGAACATGACTCTGCTGCAAGTGTAAATTGAGGGGTTAAATGCGTGTTGATTTTTCTTATAATAATAATTAAAAAAGAAATCAGGAGCAAAAATTACAGAAAAGATGCATTTTGAACATACCTGGATCTTCAGGTGGGCAGGACCTTGAACCAGGGAAGAGGCAGGAGATTCAGAGATGGAG